TGCTCGATAGAAATGAGAAGGAGCACGCGTGTTTCAATTTCGTTCGTGGCGAATGAATGAGAAGGGGTACGCGAATTATGCAAGAATTGTCGATATATGCTCCGACACACGCGCTCATTGGAGGTGAAACGATGCTAGAAGTACGCAGCTGCGAGCCGAAGGCGATCAAATTAACGAGCATCCCTGCATTTCGTCCAGGCGAAATTGAATACCGACGAAAGAACGATTAAACGTGTAATTATCGTGTCGTTCGATGTGATCGATCGCGTCTTCGTCCTCGATATAATATAGCAAAATTGAATGGAATATTTGTCGTGGAAGACATCGTGGAACGTTTTGTTGAAAAAGATTTGGTCGGAGATTTTGGAGGCTAAAATTTTGTTTTGTGTTTCTAAAATTTTAATTGTCAAGACGTATGAGTGAACATTTGCTCGTTTAAAATGTACAAAATTAGTAGAATAGTTGTTAGAAATGAGCAAGTATGAGTATTAGTTTAAACGAATGGTGATTATATAAATGGCAGAAACACGGGGAAGTAGGTAAACTAACGTCTATTACGTATGCAACCGTCATAGCATTCATTAGGTTGAATAATAGGGAAAGTGGTAATTGTAGAAAATGTTTAAGTGAGATAAATACAAAAATTTAAAGAACGGTTTTTGAAACTGAAATTAAACTGAGAAAACGTTCGTTGAAGTTTATTTTTCAAGCTATAAACGATTCAATTCTTTATCTGATATTTTTAGAGAGTTTAACTTACGTTTTGATTAGGTTTACAGCATTTGAGAGACATTATAGTTTCCAGTTATTCTTCGTAAAGCATTCAAAGGATGGATCTGGACTGATCGAATTATTTAATTTAAATTAAATCTTGTCAGAAGCAAGGAGAAAAAAATTTTCGACAAGTTGATATTGTTTATTTTATTTTGGAATTAATATTTTGAAATTATCCTTGCAAAAATACTTTCTTCTACGTTTTATCGAGGTAATGGTTCATAAACTGATGATGATAACGCGAAACTTTCATCTTAATTAACCAAGTACGGGTTGAACTTCTTTAAAAACACGCATTAAAAAGTTTTAAGATAGATTGGATCAGAAAACTTGTTTAAGAACCTGTCGTTAATTCGTCGATTTTTGAAGTTTTTCGCATTCAAAATAATTATTATAGACGGACGTGATAAAGTGTTTACCCCCTTCCTCCCCAAAAAAAGAAATGATGAACGTTTTAGATAAACGTGATACAAATGATCGTTACTACAAGTAACATCCAATTGTTCCATATCAGTTTTCACTTATATAGACACTTTGATAGTCATGAAACCCGATATCGAGAATCCCAGCTGGTGAAACACGACACAGATGACCCCTATGTAATGAAGCTCGATATCGGCGACGAGGTTGTAACATGCGATACGAACAACCCAGGAAGTCGATACTAAAGACCTTGATCGTGAGAGTTATGACAATATGATTCGAAGATAGAGTCTCATGTCAGGGATGATGGAGTCTTTGTTCATACATTCCGCTTCACTTATCATATAAAATGTCAATACTTTACTTATAGAGATTATTTTTATCATTAACAATAAAAATTGCGTTTAGATTCATTATTATAATTTTCATTCGAAGTATCGTTATGATGCTTCGAATAAAGAATCTAAATACTTTAGTTTTTCCTTAGTATTCCTAGGGATACCTAGGATATTCTAGGTGTACCTAAAGAATGAGATCATAATAGATCTGCAATCATTTGAATATCTTTATGAGAAATAATTATTTATCATGAAATATTGAACGAAGCATATAAAAATGGAATAAATTGAAAATACTTGTAATTAACTACAAGTTTTTGAAGTTTTAGATATCATATTGATTTTTCAGAATCCTATAATTTTCAAAAAGTACTTCGTAGAAAGTTTCGATCTCCAACGTTCAATTATAGATTTTTAAAGTTCTTTTATGATATATCTGGTACCGAGATTTATTGAACTTTGAAATGGCGGCTAGTCGAGCGTTGTTGCACCTAATGACTTCGAGATCGTTAATTCCGTTTCATCGCTTTAAATCCGTTTTATGAATACGAGGTTGCTCGTAACCTCGGCGAGAAGTTCAATTCCACGATCTTGGAATTAAACTCTATTTGTTATTGGGACTCTTGAGGATTGCCAGTTCCAGATTCCGTTTTATTGTACTTGTCAACATTGTACCTTTGGTACTCCCAAAGTTGTCAGCATGAAGTATCCTATGCACAGTTACAAAACATGTTTCCCATAGTTACATATTGCAAGATTCTCTATAATGAAAATTGCAAATTTATTTAATTTTTTGTAATATTATTGTATCAATTAGGAATTGAACGAAATTGTAAAATTTTATAAATGAAGTTATTTGGTAAAATTCAATTCCTATTCCTATATCTATTTTTTTTAGAGCTAATACTAAGCTGTAAATATAGATCAAATTTGGTCAACTTTTTGTACTCTTTTCTAATCAATGGTAGTAGCACAAAAGGTAATTAATATATTCGTAGGATCTTTGAACTGATTCTAGAAGCCAAAACAAATTGATGTTATACAAAATAAGATAGCTCTGTATAGGCTCAACCTATTTTTGTATTCGTTTTGTTTCTCTTTAGAATTAAATCTTCCTAAAAGAAAGCCTGCGAATATATTAACATCTCGTCAACAATCAGACGTATTATAAAAACGACACTCTGAAAATATTCAACGAGACTTATTTTACATGTCTCATCAGAATAGAAAGAATTAACAATAAAAACTATTTGTATTCAGAATTTTATCTTTTTCAAGCGGAGAATAAATAAATATCGTTGTTCAACTACAACCTTTCTCTGCTTCCAAAGAAATAAATTTACACTCGAAATAAAACTTCTTCAACGAGAACAAGAAAAAAATCACTAATTGTTCCACTAATTAATTGCAAATTTCATTCGATCCCTCGTCTTCAACGTGTTCCATTAAAGACAAGAAATGATCTCATTCAAAATTTTACCCCTCGTTAATTACGCACCCAATCCTCTATTCACACTCTTCACGCCGGATCTCTTATTTCAGCTAAGTTTACTCCTGCTCTCTCTTGTGTGCCATGTAACCTTGGAGGGGGAATACATTTATGTGTATCGTCTTGGAAACTCGCGTACGGCCGCGTGTGCTCGCCCCTGATAAGGCCATTCTATTCGTCGACAAGCGAACGAGTTTCCTTCTACGCCCTTCTAGAAAGTGAAAAACTTTTCCACTGCAGCACACTCGTTCCCCCAACTTCGCGATTGTTTCCATAGTAATTCGATTTTCCGTGTCTATTACACTAACGACGTGGCCAGTTTTCTCGGAAACTCGTTCCCTTTTTGTCTTTACAGCCGGACCATTTTCTTTCTTCTGTTCTTTTTCTTCTCAAAATGGGATCGGAGCAAGAATTTTTGGCATCGATCCCGTAGACTTTTCGAAGATAAGTGATAATCGAAGAAATGATGTTGAAAATTTTTATTTTCCATGAATTTATTTCTTTGCACAGATCGTGTACATTTTTATGATCAAAATTTGAAAAAGTTGCTATGAAAATGATCATAGTACTTTGATTTTCGTAATTTTGATTACGAATGGTTTTTTAAAGAGAGTTTGATTTTATTCTTTTATTCATTTTTGTGAAAAGATGAAATCTAACGTAACTTAAACGTTTTGCAATTTTTATTTTCTTATTGCAATGCGTTTTTGCAATAAGAATAAGTTAATTATCTTTTCTAGAATCTTGTCTCAGAGATGAAATAAAGTTTTAAGGAAAGGGATCGAAGTTTTATCGTCAAAATTCACTAAGTTAGATTAATTATTATATTTAACGTTAACTGTGAATAAGATACTTCTTCCAAAACAATTATTTACTTTTGATGACTGGTAGGATTTAGCTTAAACCAAAGGATTTAGCTTAACGAAGCGCACTATAAAATGGACGTACAACGGAAATACTCGCTATACATTGGCCGGTAGAAAAAGCGGATCGATTATTTTTTACAACCCTTGTCCCTATGTACACCATTTTTCGATGCGTCCATCAAAAATATTTTTTCAGATAAACGCTATACTTGTTTGTTTTTTCGTTATATTTACGAATAAAGGAAATAGATATATATTTTTTTTTTAATAGAAACGCGTTAGATCTAAATAAAAAATTCTAAAATAAATATATCTACGCATTTGATATCCTTATTTACACAATAACTATTTCAACATTCGCTGAAAAACAAAATTGTCAATAATAAAAATAAGCACGTTGCATTTAATTTTTGGATATATCGTTCCAATTAATATAAAACACGAGATGTCGAGATTATTTTTCTATCAATGATATATCATTGTGAAAGTTAAGTTGAAATTTATTCTTCTAAAATTCCCCATTTTCTTTTTTTAAATATAAAGTAATGATACGAAATAGAAATTACAATAAAATGTTGAAATTTTAACGCTTTTTCTTTTTCTCTCTTTCTCTATCATCTACAAGAATTCCACAATTCTAAAAAAAAACAAAAAAAAAATATCTATACACGCAAACTTCCATTAAAATTAAAATTATCACGATTCCCTAGATTAAAATTCGAACACTTTCACGAATTACTACTAGATACACACTGGACACCTGTTACGTTATTAATTAAATCATACAGTTTTACAACAGCGTGATAATTGAATTGGATTACATATAATTCCTGAAAATCGAATTTCTCCCCGTGATTTTAGTTTAATTCTCATTATCGCGGAATAATAGGACCCGTGCCGATTTAATCAAACTGCGCGGCCTCGTTCGAATAATTAAGAGTGTCGTTCATTTATTGCAACCGAGTAGACGTTGTTAAGGGAAGGGAGAAAGGGGGGGGGGAGGAGGATAGGGGGTAAATTTGCGGGCAAGTTTAATTATATCGTTGTATCTCTCTGTAATAAAGCTTAGACGGGGGAGAGACGTGTAATCTGGTTTCTAAATTGTTTCAGGTGCTAAGCCGTTTCCTGGACTGGAAAACCTGCCTAGGTCGTTCTGGCATGAGCTCAGTTCGCCTTTTACCGAGGTAAGTCGGCTGTATAATTGGAATGAGCAGTTGAAAATGTCTTTTCAAAAAGGGTGCGGCAGGACATACTTTTCGCCGCTGCTTTGCTACAGACAATGGGGAGGGGGGTGATCCCTTTGTGTCGACGGCGAAACGGTTATAAGACCTTCTCAAATATTTACGTAACTTTTAAGTTACAAAGCGTTCAAGTGATCTTCCCGCGAATTTAATAACCTTATTTTCAAACGATATCCCTCTCGTTGTATTTTATCAAGGATTTCTCTATCCCGTTTATTATTAATCCCCCTAACGAGTTTTGAAAACTTGAAACTGGAGTATAGAGAGAGAGATGGTTACTATTAATGTGTACAGCCTCCCTTTTCTTTTTCTTTTTTTTTTTTTTTGGACATTGAGAATAAAATCTCTACGTAAGAGGAAAGAAAGGGATCACCCTTTGGAATGAAACTGGAATTTTTTGAAGTTTCTTTTCTTTTCTTTTTTTTCTTTTTTTGAAAAAATTGCAATTAGTATTTGTGTTTTTTTAATCGTCACACTAGACTGTGTCAAGTTTTTAACTTAAGTTCTCATCTCCGTTCGAGTAACTTTGTTCTGTATAGATTTTATCTCCTATTGTTGCCTTTCAATTATAAACGCGCGCAACGTTCCTCTATGCGCAAAGAAAAGACAGAGGTGGCCTGATATTTTCTATCACGTTTGTTTCTCTTTTGATCTTAATACAGGTATACGAGGTGGAAAGTTTTGCTACAGAAACGGGCGGCACTCCAGAACCGAGGCCCTTTTTCGAAGATCCAGAGAGCAACATTACCGTGCAACTCGGTGCTCAAGTATACATGCACTGTAGAGTACAAAACTTGCAGGATACACTCAAGGTAAATTCTCATTTCTCTTCTTTTCTCGACATTTCCTTCCATTGATCCTGCATTCTCCCGAGTTGCATCACTTGTATAATCTCGCAATGTATTCAGAGAGACGCTTTCTCGGACGCTTTCTTCGAGAATTTAAAAAAAAAAAAAAACAAAAAAAAAACGACGTTATTCGCGATATTTCAGGCAATTCTCGTGTTCTCTCTTTAAAACGTACGTTTTGTCGAAAAATCTTTCCTCGAGAAATCTTGATCGTTCGAATAATATTCAGTAAATTAAGTGAATCGAGATCTTTTTTTTTCTTTTGTTATTAAACGGTTTCTCCCTTCTGATTTTTACCCGTGAAATATTACAATTCAATTACAGCTGTTGGAAAAATACCATTTCCCGTGTCTCTAATGATCCATTCGCGTGACAGCTAATGAAACGTTGCTCCATGCTGATTTTTCTCTTTGCACAAGAAACTTCACGTTTCTCTTTTTCCCTCATCGATTCACAACATCGAATATCATTTCCATTAAAAGATCCGTCCAAATCCAATCTTTCTTCTCCCCAAATAATCACGACCGATCTAATCGCCGCTTTACCTAGCCACCAATTCCATTTCCAACTTTTCCAACTCGAAACCCTCAACCCGACCAAGTCGTTTCCCGCACAATGGAAGGAGCCGCAATAACACGACCCACCGTTCTCGACGACGAGGAATATGTTGCCTCGTTCCTTCGTTTCGCAAAGATCATCCGGAGGCGGTGTGTATATAAATCGGCGCAAGAGGCGCTTCGCGATAAATTTGCGCGGGACAACGAGTTTCCTCTTCCTTTACCAGCCATTATTCGACGGCGGAACGACGGGGTTCCGTTCGAAGAAGAGCATCGGCCGTCGATAAAAAGAAGCGCGGCAGGAAATAGCGGGAAACGTTTCCGTTCCGCTTATTGTGCGCCCCTCCCCCCTCCCTCCCCCTCCTCCTCGATAAATCGCGTGTCGAATCGCGACGATATCAACGCGGCGAATCGCCTCGAAATATACGCCCCGTGTGTTTCGAAACGCGCCGCTCTATCCATTTTCCTTGGGATTCAATCCTTTTAAGCGGGGATGGATAGAGTGAAACAAGTTGCTGCTAAGGGGGGAAGAAGGGGGAATCCGCATGCGCGCATGCGGTACGTGCGATTAGGTAGAAGTGGAAGTTTCCAAAGTGTCGTGGAACTTTGTTTGATTTGATGGGTGTTGTGCGTGGTTTTGCTCTCGAAGTTTATGCTTTTACCGATGCTTTTAGACAATTTATCTCTTTTTTATTCAATCCACGAGTGTGTAGGTAGGTAAACTCGAGTCTTTTTTTGAATCTAGAAATTTTGTTTGATTTTTGGTGATCTTGAATGAGTAGTGAATTAATTAATATTCTTCGAGTATTTGGTAATAAATGAAGATACGAAGATTTTCCATTCATTAAGACATTGTTCCTAAAAAGTGTAATATTATTAGAAACTTCTTACAAAAATATGTATAAATGCTATTATCAGAATTTTACTAAACTATTAAAAATCATTAACTTGAACTGTCTAGGGATCCCTAGATTAAGTTAGGATATTTTTAATAGATCTTCTGATATATAAAAGGAATGAAATATGCACTTTCAATTTTTCTTGTACATAGAAAAACGAATGTAGGAAAAATTGATATTTCATCATAATTTATTCATTAATCATAACGATGAGATCACTAACAACGTTGCTGATTTCATAATGATTTCATAATGCTTTACGACGTAAAACACGAATTTACTTTCTCATAAACTTTAAATTACAAGAACAAGTTTGGTTTTCCTTAGTTAATAAGTTCAAGTTGTCGAGATGACTGCGGAAAAATCAAATTAACGCGATTATCCACAGTGTACGGAATATACAAGACGACCGTGGCCTTATAGAAGCGCGTCGACTAGTTAAAAAGTTAATAAATCCAAGATCCTGGCTTATTAACTCTGCCACTTCGTGGAGCGCGCCAAGAATCCGGGTAAACAGTTCTATCATGTCGTGTTTTCAGTTAAAAAGCTTGGCAATTTAGACTTGCAATTATTAAATCTTCCTGCCGTGAAAGATATTTTTAGGCGAGGAGTTAATCCACTTGAAATTGTATTTGTTTATTTTCCACTTGTTCAATTGGGAAACAACTTGATACTTGAGATTGTAACAAATTTTAATTATATGTTAAGATGTAAGATAATATTCATTTAAGTGATTTCATAAAAATCAATCATATTTTTCGATTATTATTCGTATTTTATATGTAATCAACAACTCTATCGCGCTTATAGGTTCGATTTAATTTAATTTATCAATTTCCAAAAGGTCTAAGATTTAGAGCGATTCATTTTATATCTTGAACACTGCGAAAACTCTTAAAGCCCCTAATTATCAACCGCGCGAAAACTTCTCGAGCGTCTAAAATCACGTTTGAAGTCTTTGGCCCGTCGGTGTTTCGTAGAGATGCACCATCCACTCTGTTCGAAACTTCTTCTTCGGAAGGCTGTCAGTTGTCTTAAAGGATGCTAGCCCGACTCGACTTGAAACTTCATTAACAGCAACAAAAGACCCGTTCCTTTGCGGCATCGATCAATGATTTTAATAATATTGATATTTCTCAACTTTTAAATTTTGATCGACCATTGATTCTCGATCCATTTGCATAGGAACTTTAAAATAACATTAGATCAAGAATCTATATTATATTTGATTATAAAAAGATCTAATTTTCAGGATGAACAAATTGTATTTATTACAATTTGATAAATTCCAATGTACAATCCATTCCATGATCTCCCAAAAATCTCATATTTAAAAAAATAATCCTCCTTAAATTTTTAAATCCACTTGCCATTATTCAAACATTCTCCATCTCTTTAAAAAATAAAAAGAAATATTTGAACCATTTCCTTCAACTATTACACAATTACACAAACGAAATACATTTAATACAAACTCTCAATATCCAATTTATCGATCCTCTAAACCATACCATACCATTTGAAAAGCAAAAGAACTTCCAAACTTCTCGATTCTTAATCAAACCTCCAATTCTCCAATAGCATCGCATAATTCTCGCCCATCGATACTTTTCTGACAATCGGCATCGTTGGATCCCCCCATTTACATATTTCAGCAGTCGTGCCAACTCGCGAGCCGAGAAAACAGAATTGCAGAAGCAAAAAAGTAACTAGAAAAGTAACTAACGTTAAACGTAATCTCGGCCACGATAATTATCCGCGATTATTCGATGAACGATAAATTATTATAAGTTTATTTTATCCTTATTAACTTCAATTCAAATTTTGCCACCATCTTTAATGATGGGAAGAACCGCAGTGACGTCGCTCGCGTTTCCAACGAGCATCAAGACACTCGAGTCACCCCCACTGTGATAGCTACTTTTCCACTTATAACGACTATAGGAGAGAGGGAGGGGGGTACTTTTGATGTCCTCTCGTCTAACAATCGCTGCAAGTTTGTACACGTGTAATTAGTTTAACGAGTAAGCGGGCGCTGGCACTAATTGCTCGCGAGCGAATCGCGGCGATACAGCGCGCGAGAGGGGTAAAATTGTTACGTGTCACGCTAACTGGCCGGCATGTTGAAGGGAATCTCGTTCCATCCTCTCTCTCTTTCTTTCTCTCGTTTACTTTCTCCTCATTAATTCCGCGGGCGAACTCTTGGAAAAATATTTTTCGAACGTGGATAACGCCAATGGCCAGGGTTGGATATCTGGATCCCGATATCGATGTCGGGCAGAGTAAATTTATTCGGATAATTTTCGAGGGAGAAGCGGCTTTTTATTTTTTGATAATTGTTATTTCGAATTTGACGTGATATCATTTTTTTTTAAGGGAAGGAATGGAAAAAATGCTCTTATAAAAGTTGTTTTTCTTGTAATCTTTGTGTGAGCGATCAACTTCGATTTTTGTAATCGTGCAATCTTTAATAAATCGATCATTACGGAGAAGAAAAAGAAAGATAAGAATCCGAATCCAATCCAACAATTAATTACGAATGATACGAAGTCGAAGGATGCTCCTTGAAATATATAAAAAATAACATAGATTCTTCATTGTTTCTTAAAAATTTAATAATTATAAATCAAGATCGTCTCGTTTACCTTTCAATCATTTTCCAAGTAACGATATCCTCTTCAAAAATCTTCCTCTCTCGAGGATCGAGATATTTCGCTTTGATTATTCCTCTGGTGTCAAGAAAACGCCGCGCGAGTATCCTCTTCGAGGGTATAGATATTGCGTTGCCAGTCGAACGAGAACGAGCAAGGGTGTGCTCTTTTTTTTTTTCTCTCTTTTTCCCCCTTCCCCTTCCTCTTCTACTTCACCCTCCTTCTCTCCTCTCCTCCTCTTCTTTTTTTCTTTTTCTTACGCGACGCAAGCGTCGGTTCAGAAAGCAAAAGCGATCCCACTCGAGGGTTCTCGAGAGAAAAGATACGAGACTGAGATGCCAGGGAAAAAGAGAGAGAGAGAGAGAGAGAGAGAAACGAGAGAGGGAGGCCGCGTCCCGGTTAAAGAGGATTCGGTATCTTTGTTTGCCGGCGGATTAATCCGAGCTCAAGGCCACTTTTACACGGAGCCGTCTCTGATCCTGTCTCATCCGCATGGGGACTGCCTCCTTTGGATTTTTTTTTTTTTTATATCTGCCACCCCGTTTACTTTTGGCCCGCTTCTCCTAGGATTTTCGAGGACTACGTGGATACGCTTATCCTGGTAAATTCCATCAGCGTGATGGGAGATTATTCGCTTTTGAGAATTTTGAATTCGGAATTTTTATCCTTTCGAATTGTTTCATCCGTTGTTCTAGCTATTTCGTAAAAATTGGGATTGATTAATTATTGTGTTAATTGGTCGAGTAGGTAGGTGTTATAATGGGTGTGTGTTTCGAGAATTATTGAAAATTATTGAAACTAGAAATTGAATAATTTGAATAATGGTATAAGGATTATGTATTTGTTTATCGATTAAT